TCTTGAAGTCATTTTGTCTAACCTGTTAAACTGGTCATATTTAAAAAAAGCACTTTGCTACTAAATGTTATGGGAAGCCATGATTCATGGTGCTGCTGAGCCATTTCCGTCTGGCAGGAACTTTATTAAAGGCAGCCTGCGCCCTGACACCCGCGCAGGTTGTAATCACTGCAGGACACTGCGCCTGCCGGCGGCTCGCTCCCCGCCGGCGCCGGCAGCGGGGGAAGAGCTGGAGCGCGGGCTGGCTCCTGGAGAAGAGGCTCTCCGTTTAATGGGGCACAAATCAAAATAGTTTAGATGTTGCTTCCTCTGCCATGATGCTTTCCCTTAACTTTTGGAGAGGAGTATAAATTGATATTCAGTATCAGAGTGCTCTGCAGGAGAGGGTTCTCGGTGGATTTATTGCCACAGCTTTTCCATTTGTCTGCCCAGGGAGGGCAACTTCTCTGAAGTCTTCTTCTCTGATCACCAGCTATAAAGCATGCATACAGATCCCAGGAGCAATAGCTAGGAGCAGCTTTGTGGACGCGCGTTAACGGCCTCCTTTGGTTAACCGCAGTGTTTGGTGTTTATTGCTTGGTGTCACTGCGGCGCTAAGGGCCGTACCAGAGCTTCAGGGGCCTGTTTTGGGCTGTAGGACATGAAAGAAAACGCTTGTCCCTCGGAAAGCCAGACTTGGAGGCAGGGTGGCACTGCGCCCAGTGCGTGGCTCGGAGCCGGGAGGCCGTTGTGTCGGACCGTGGAGCAGTGCTCACGGGCCAAGGTGCACGACGGGGAGGAGACAAGCTGCCAGCTCCCTCCAGGATACATTTGGGGAACGTTTTGGCTTAAATTCTTTTTATGTGTGGTTTAAAACTAATTTTTGTTGGTTTTACTGGGTGTGTTTGAGCAGAGGCTTTTGGCTTGTGTGTTTCTACAGGTCACAAAGCATTTGGCTCTAATGACCATCCTGGCAGGATGGTTTTACTTTGCAAGCGCTGCTTGCCCTCCTCGGTCACGGGGACAGCGTCAGCCCTCGCCTCCCCGGTGCCTGGGACGAGGACAGGTCCCTTGCACGCTTGTTCATGAAGGATGTTTGTAGCGTGAAGGGCGTTCTGGCAAGGCCCCTTCCCCCAGCAAAGGTAACGGATGTTGCTCTTTTGCCCTCAGAAGAGATTTGCCGACCTCTTTTGGTATCCCCATCTTTAACACTTCCCCAGGGTAACTTTTCAACTTGATCAATACCAAGACTGCCTTAAACAAAAGAAGACAAACACGAAAAGAAGAAAAGACACCACAGAATGAAGAAGCCTTGGTATATTTACCACTGCGATTAGACATTGCGGGTCGGGAAAGCAGGACTGAGACATTTACCTGGCCTCTGCCGAGCGTGGCGATGGCTGTGAGCATACCAGCGCTATTTATAGATGCAAACTTGCTTGGCGACTGCAGAGCAAACTGCAGTCCAAGATAAGTGCACCCCATGGCTGTTGAAGTGCCCTGCATCCTCTGCAAAGTTAGGAAAGTCAGGCTGTTCCTCTCCTTTTAAATTGTCACCTTGCCGCACCACCTGTGTGCCAAAAACTGCCACGCTTTGCATGTTTGCACTGTAATGTGGCCATTTCAGAGGGCTGCCGCTTTTGTCTCTCTATCGATTAGTGGCTGATCCATACCCAGAGGTCTATAATGTTCCTATGATTTAAACTTTAACAGTTTCATTAACTATCTCGTACCTTTAGAGCAAAGGAATCCCATATTTTAACTCCCCTCTTCTTGCCAGTATTAGATTTGTGGAGGGAGACTTTTCTGCGAAATAAATAAATAAAGCCCAAGCTTTCTGAAAAACCCCGAGGCCTCAAGATCTGACTAGAAAAGAAGGAAAACCATTCCAAGATATTTAATTGTACAGGGGGCTTACAGGATTGATCGAGAGCTTAGCTTTTTACAATAGTCCAGTGAATAAGAAATGCTTCTGACAAACGATCGATGATGGGATAATCACTCTTTATCCCCCCTCCTCATTGTTACCTTCTTTCTTTCAGGAGAACAGGGTTCAGAAGTCAAAAATCTTTATAGATGCTGCTTTTAAATTAAGCAGAAAATAGACATTGACATATTTGTTAATCTCACCTAAATCATTACTGGGCCTGGCTGGTTTGGCTGTACAGCAAGAGTGTGGCAGATAGGCCAGAATACATGAGCGTTACTGGCTTAAGTGCATGCATTGCCATTTAAAACAGGGAGATGTAGGAACCTGGGAATTTAACGTGGATAAATACATATAATTTTTAATTCTGAAGGTGATAAGAGTAGCTTCTCTTCATTAAAACCTTCTTAGCAGCATTTGGAAGGTTAGGCAACATTTATATTGGGCGACACAGAAAAACATTCCTTCACTAGAAAGAATTGCTCTGTAACTGACCCGTGCCTTTATGAAGTGTGTGTGTGGGTAATGCTCAGACCTGTTCTGATTTGAAAGAGGCACTCTGGAAGGAAATAAAAACATAGCTCGTACAAAATAGAAAAGAAAAGGGCCTGCATGCAAAACTTGAGGTGGCACGGAGCGCAGGCCCCCCATGCCGTGGTGCTGGGAGTGATCTGTCACGGTGCTGAGCGCAGCAGTGAGTCACCACGCTTACGCGTCCCTTAGGTCCGGCAGCCCTGGATCCGGGCTGTCAGCGTCAGCAGCAGATGCTTACGGAAAGAGCGTGAGCGTCCTGCAAACACAGCGCGATGCCTTCCCCAGGATGCCCTCTCAGCGTCCCGCAGCCTGGTGGTTCAGAGACTTCCTGAGAACAGATTAGTATCCGCATCTTAGTGCTGAGAAGTCCGTGATGGACTTTTCTTGCATGGATTTGTTTAATCCACTTGTACTTTTGGCGTGCAGAACATCCTGTGGCAACAATTTCCACCATTTGATTATGCATTATGTGAAAAAGCGTTCCCTGTTGTTGGGGTTTTTTTTTTTGAAGCTTCTGCCTGCTAATTTTATCTGCTTTCATTCAGAGGGGCTTGGATTGCTTTGGTCTCGGCTTCGATTCTCTTCTTATTGTCAGGCTGGACAACATCCGTGGTGCTGCTGAGGACCCGCATTGCTAAGCTGTCCTCCTCTGCCTCTCTGCAGCAATTGCCTTCCACATCACCCAGCCGGGAAGCGTGACAGTTTAACAATAGGTGTTGATGTAACAGTAGATGTTGCATTTAATCCCATTGACATTCCTTCGCAAACAATAAAGATTAAAAACCAAAAAAACCTTGATGGTGTTCACATACCACAAAATGCAGTCATGATATTCAGGCTACAAGATAATAAGAAAGAGTATTGTCCACTGGCTGAAGCACGGCTCCAGCTTTCGTTCCAGGTTCTCCCGTTGACTTCTTTTACGTTAGTGGGTAGCGCAGCTCTTGGTTTTATATCTCAGTTTCCCCTCCGTACACTGAAGATAGAATCCTGCTTGCATGTCTCCTAAGCATATGGGTGGTTATATTAACATTTGAATGGAGGGTGCTGGAGGATAGTTGAATGTTATAACATAGACGCTTGGAGCAAGACTTGTCCATGACCTGGCTTCAGATTGCCAGCGACCTCGGCTCTAACGGGGGAGGCGGGGGAAGGCAGCTGTCTCTGAGGCTGTGAACTTGCAGCCTGAGCATCTCAGGCCCTGGTGTGGCTGGGAGGTTTACAAAATGCCACACTTAGCAGAGTATCCAGTACCATGTAATTTGGCTGAGATTGCAATCTTTGCTTAAATTGAAACAAAATTGGCTCTAAATACCATGCCTCTGCACAAGCACCTCTTGCACGTGAGTTTGTAGGGCAGTGTGGGAGAAGCATCAACCTACTACCATGCTTGCCCCAAGCCTGGGCCGATTGTGACCTGGGGTAAATTACTGCAAGTTGAGGGTTGCCCTCACTTACGGTTATGCGAACTGTGGCCTGTTACAGCTCTTTGCAGGAAGGGAGAAAAGGGGATTTAGGCTCTTGGTATTGTAAGGGGGCAGCTGCTTTTAGGAATTCATTTAACATCCCACTGTCTGGAAAGAAAAGAGGAGGGCCCTCTTTAGAGCTTGATTGAAAATGAGTGTGGCTGAATTATGGTCACCATTAGTCCCTTTTGAGAACTGTTGTCCCGATACCAGCTTTGTAAAGACCACCTTGCTCTTGCTGCTGGAAGGGGCAGGAGCCGCTGCGGGTCTCAGCAGCGCTCTGTGGACGGCTGACGGGTTTCTTGTCTGCCTCAGTCTCGTCCCACTAGTTCCTTTCATGGGGTGACGTTAATCAGAAAATATTTTAATGCATGTTTTTGTTTTAATCAAAGTTAGTTTTACCTGAGCTCCATGTTTTAAGATACATTAAAATTGTGAACTCCACAGGACATCTTATTGACATGGTTTTTCTCCTGTCCATCATGTTAGTCCGTGAGCGAGACTCACATTTGTCGATCACTGGTAAACGAAATGCTCCGTGAGCGTTTTTTGGTGTCCCTAACATAGCTTGTTTATTTTCCTTAATGAGACAGTGGTACTAACAGCTGCTCGTAGGAACCAGCCAGCAGGAAAACTTGTGACTGTATATGCGGTTTTACATTGTCCATGTTTTTGGCTAAATGAACTGCATGTTCGGACATTATTCTTTTCTAGGCGTAAGTCCAGTAAATCTGTCACTTAATTGATGGCTCAGCTCTCTGGCATTTAAATGCAATAGAGTTTCCATGGTAAAATCTCCTTTGGAGCTCTTGCCTCAGTATTGGTGGCAGGAAATCTAGGCTGGAATGATTGCATTTGACTCAAAACTGGGCTTGGCATTGCTTGGAGCTGATGGTCTGGCATTTGTCCAGGCCAAATGCAGGCAGGATTTTGCCTGTATGGAGTAACAGCAGAAACCTCCGTTCTCCCTCTGGAGTGCGTGGTGGTGCCCCTCTTTCCAAACAGCACCGAACAAGGGTCTGGGGGCCGCACCCTCTGATTGAGTCTGGCTGAATATGGCAGGTCTCTTGACGTGTAGCTGTGCCTTCTTGCAGGTACTCCTGAGCTAAGCCCTGCTGATCGAAAAGAGCTGGAGACCAAGCTGAAGGAACGGGAGGAATTCCTCATTCCCATTTACCACCAGGTAGCCATGCAGTTTGCTGACCTGCACGACACGCCAGGCCGGATGCAGGAGAAGGGTGCCATTACTGTGAGTACGATAGATCTTTCCTCAGAGATGTTGTGGGAAGGCTTGGCACAGGTACACACCCAGCCGAGAACTGGCCGCCCTGAGGGGGACGCGTTACTGCTGGAGGCAGCAGAATCAAGAGAGCCTGGTGTCCTCTCGGGCTGCAGATAAACCTCTGCCCCGGTAACTCTCGCCACAGCGTCAAACCCTCTCCACACACCTGCTGTTCTCTTCCCCTTCAAATGCAAGAACATCATGGGCTTTGGCACCTTTTCTGATCTGTGTCCATTTGAGACCCCCCATTTTTCTGGGCTTGGCCGGTAGCTGGTTAGCGACTCTTATCAAAAAATACTTGGCAATTTTCCCCACATGACACATCACAGTCTGCCTCGGTGGGAAGGGAAGGCAGTGAGCGCAGTAGGTCTGTAGCCGGTGGTGACCCTCAGTGATGGGAAGGGCTGTCATGAAATAATTAAAGCCCAGCCCTCACGTCAGAGTTTTAACCTTGACTGATTAGTGGAAGACTTCCCTGGTTCCCTGTCCCCTTGAACATTGATTTCTTGGTCCATGCTGCTCACCTGGGGAGCTATATCTCTCTGCAGGAGAAAACAGGCTTCAGGGAGGCAAAGAAGGCGACACATCATGTCTGGTGACTGAGTGGTGTGACAAGGTGGAAGTCTGCATAGCTCAGAAATGGAAGCTTTTGTAGTTCTCTTGTGCAAGCAACATAGCTGAGTGCATTATGAGTTGGAAGCCTTTTGTTCCTAGGGGGAAAAAGGTATACGCGTTCCTCCATGAGCGTGGTAACTGTTGTCCTTCACTCATTTCTCCTTCTCCACTTACGTCTTGGGCAGGACATTCTAGATTGGAAAACTTCCCGTACTTTCTTCTACTGGAGATTAAGACGTCTTCTGCTAGAAGACGTGGTCAAGAAGAAGATCCACGATGCCAATCCTGAGCTAACTGATGGGCAGATCCAGGCTATGCTGAGACGCTGGTTTGTGGAAGTTGAAGGAACAGTAAAGGTAAACGAAAAGGCAATTTCACCAGGGTAGTCGTCTTTCCTGGGCTTAAGTTCAAGGAGGTTCTCCCAAGTGGGGTTTCATCTCTGATTTTCAATTGTAATGTCTGTGGACGTTTTAGGTGATTAATGCGAACTTCGGGGCAATGTTCCTGGTCATGAGTAGCTTTATTGAGATACTTTTTATGGCAGGCCAGAAAAGCAAAAATACTCAGGTTTTTTTCCAAGCATGTAGCCCCATTGATGTGAAAATCTGAGCACCTGAGAAAGGTGAACAGTTCTCTCAGTAGACCAAGGCAGGGCAATCTTTGGGAAGAAGGCTGTTTGGAGGTGCTGCTGTCTGGCAGATAGTTAGTCGGTGGCAGAATTGGCAGCAGAAATCCCAGGAGTCACAACACGTGCTCTGTACACCAGCCCTGCATATCTCCCATCTCCTTGTCTCTGCTAACAGCCTGCCTGAAATAGCTCTGCAGAGCTGCTGTCGGTTACAGAGGCTGTTATGGAAAAGCTGTCCTAGCTGTGGGGACCTGTCCCAGAACACCCCTTGGGATCCTTTGTAATATGAAAGCAAATTTTTTTTTTTTTAATTATTATTTCATACTGAATAATGTCCTAAATTTGCACTATCCCACTGACACCAAGAAGGGCAGGAGGGATGCATTGCTGGTGCTCCAGATGTCATCTTGTCACCTCCTTGTCATCTGGAGATGTGCTCCAGATATACATCTGGCAGATACATAGCCAGCCTATTGCATCCAGCTATCTTGCTACTTGCAGAGGGGACTGTGGCCCTACTGTCCTTCCTTCCTCTGGGCGGCCCTCACATCTCATCCCCTTCCCAGGGTGGTGGGGACAGATTGCGCGTGCCTCGCCACCGGTGACCGTCGTCATGTTTCAGCCCAAGGGAGCCCCGACCGCTCTTCCACCAAGCGTCCCACCTCTCCCTGGTTGCAGAGTGCTGTAACGCGGAACGGAGCAGCACGCTTTCAAACACAAGGTTACAAGTTAGCTGTAATATTTAACCACCGTGGTTTGGGGGGAAGGGTGCCTTGCCGCCATCCTCATCTGATAGTTTTGCTGAGGATTTCTCTTTTTAATCATGCTTGAGTTCTGAGGCTGGCAATCTCTGAAGAACAATCACTGGAGCTGCTCTTAGGTTGTTTTTGTTGCAATCCTGCAATCTGAGTTCTTTATTTTATTTTGTTTTTTAAGTCGCAAACACTCAGGGGTTCCAGAAGCAGAAAGGGGGGGAAGCGTTCTCTGGAGGGCAGCAGGCTTTCCAAGGTAGTGTCTGAGTGTCTTTAAAAGCGGGCATCTCGTTAGCTAATACATTACACCAATCAAGGAGAGTTATCTTAAGCCACAATTAATCTGCTCCCTGGCATATGTTGATAGGAAAGCATCATGCTGTTTCTTAATTAAAAGCAAACGGATTAAAAATGATTAATAAGAGTATTAAATATTCTGCTAAACTAAAAGCTCTGGGATTCTTGGGTAAATCTAACTTTATGCAGGTCTGCAACCATAAGGCAGCTACTGGGGCTTTTTCCCTTCCCTGAAATCTTCCTAAGTGCCCTATTTTGTATGCAGGGAGCATTTCTGTCATGTCTAGGGGCAGAAACAAGGAGCAAAAACTAACGCGTTTAAAATAACAATAAGAAAAACCAATGAAATAAGCAAAATCTTAAGACTGAAATGACATCCCTGTTTTGAGACAATCATATACATAATGATTACGAAAAAAAAAAAAGAATCCCAATGTGAGTTTTGGGCTGTGATCTCAGCCTGGCACCAATGTGGTGCGTCTTCCTTATGTAAGGGGATGCATCCTGCCTCGCTGACTGAAAGCACCTGCAGGACCCCATGCCAAGAGGCTTGTTGTTGACCGACTGCCGGGAGCACTGGTCTGGGCTTGAACCCGTTGATGTTAAAGTGTGTCAGGCAGGACTGATCCGAGGCAGGTGGAAAGGGTCTGCGCTCCCGGTTTCTCACTGCAGTGCTGACTTTCACGCGTGGGTGCAGCAACAGTTCTGTCGACACAGGGAAGGAGCGTGCCCAAGCAGAGTAACCCATTTCGTGTCGTGAGGTAGAGTCATGATGAGGGAGGGTATTTTGCTGGCTTTACCGCTATTGCTCCAAGGGTTTCCAGGGTTTTTGCAGACACATTAGCCTCCCACCACTGAGGCTGATAGCCGAAAGGCTTTGCCTTCAGGTGCAAACATCCATAGTGTACTTCTGCCTCCCTCTCCCTGCTGGCGCCTGGAAGTTGCTCTGGCTCCCAGAGTCAGGCGTGGGGGAAACCGAGAGGGTGGAAGGCATTTGGGCTTCCCAGGTGGAGCAGCGGCTGCTCTGCTGCCCGCGGCTCGCTGGCGTCTGAGCCGAGCTGCTGTGACGGTGCCCTGCTTGGCGGGTAATCCAGCCCGGTCCCAGAGCCACCTATTAAATTACTGTGCTGAGCTCATTGTCATTCTGACTTTGACTTCGTTAGTGATAACAGAGAAGGATAGTGCACCTTTAAATGACGAGCTTTGTGTTTAATTACCCAAATAAAATGACATAAATATGAATGAGTGCTAATGGTGGTACTTGCTTTTCCGGAAACCATTAACAAAACGATTCTTAAATGATTTGTAAAGAAAATGAGAGGAGAAGAGAGGAGCGAGAAGGCTATTAGGCGTCTAACACACTCCTGAATTATTATGTAGTCAACTACCTAGCAAATACCAGGCGAAATGATCTTGCAGAAGAAAAGAAAGGGTTTTGTTGCCAAGGCTTTTCATGGATGTGGACACACTGACCTCCTCTGCTATGCCACACTTGCCGAATGGGTGGTAGGTTTCCGGGCTGGGTCATGGATCCTGTGCTTCCTGGGGTACGCTGACACCAGCTCAGTCTCTAGGTGACAGGGACTGGTGGGTCCCATGACAACAAGAAGCCCCAGATCAGCCGCATCTCTGACCACCCCTAAACTCACCTCTGGAGCTGTTGTATTTCACCAGAAGCTGGGCATCTGATCGCAAAAGGAAGCTGGGCTTTGTCAGAGACAGTCAGCTTACATGCTTGTCCTTAGGGGCTGACGGGGATGGCAGGTAGTGTGATGTGCCCTTCCAGAACCGGCTGTCTGTAAGCCTCAGGTGGCTCAGAAGCTATTTGGAAATTGAGGGTGTAAAGTTTGTTTTTCATTCCCTTGTCTTAGAAGGTGCATCTGGCCTTGAGGGATGATGACCTGTTAGAGCAACTGCTTCAGTGATAGCCACTGGAAACAGTGGGTCTGCTGCCTCTGTGTCACGTTTACAGGGAAGACATGCAGAAATCTCTCGTCCTTTTGACTTTTGCTAATTGTTAGTTGTGCCAAGCACACTGGAAAAATCGCAGAGGGTTGCCAGCCGAATGTTTTACCCAAGCTTGCCAGTAATTGCTAGTTACAGTTGAGGAACGGCAGCATGGGGAGTGGGATCGTGCAGCTGGTCACTGGTGGGACCGGCTGGGTGACGCTGGCGCTTTGTTCACAGGCGTACTTATGGGACAGCAATAAGGACCTAGTGGAGTGGCTGGAAAAACAGCTTACGGAAGAAGAAGGCGTTCGTTCCGTTGTGGATGAAAACATCAAATACATCTCGAGGGACTACATACTTAAACAGATACGGAGGTAAGCCAACTGTGGAGTGCCCATAACAGGTCAGCGCAGACAAACTAGGACTCAATCCCGTGTCTTAAGAGGCTCCACAGATTTCCACTGCAGCTGGCTGGTGGGGCTTGGAGAGCGGCAACGCTACTATGGCAGGTCTTGGTGGCGTTCACGCGCTTCCAGGGCTCTGTGCTGCGAGGAGAGGGTGCCGTGTAGAACAGGACCAGCCTTGGCGCGTCACGCTGGCTGGCCGGCCTCACCCCCGCGATGGCCCCTGCACCAGGCCTGCCTTCGGCTTTGGCTTTCGCTGATGCCTGACCAGAGGGAAATGCTAGCAGCACGTGGGCTGGCTGAGTGGGGATGTTGTCATCGATAAAAGGAGGAGATTTTACTTAAGGCTCTACAGAGCAGGGATTTTAAGAAGTTCAGTCTCTGGTCTTGGCCATGTGCTTTTCTCCACCTGAGGGAAGTACAACAGTCCGCTGCACTCTTGTTCTGCATGCGTGTTTGCCTGGCAGACACTTCAGGAATACGTGGAGATACAGTCTCCTTCGGAAACGCGAATACAGGGGTAATCGTGGGGCCACTGTGAAACGGGGAGACTTATACAAAATCTGCATCTCGCCTTCTTTCGGCAGTCTGTAACGCTACTGTAAGTGCAGGTGCTCTGAGCAAAATTACGAGACACCACAGTGAAGAAGCTCTAATCCAGCAGCATCCAAACCAGGGCCAGGGGCCATGCCTGTGCTTTCCTGAAACAAGGGCTGTGAGGAGCCAGGGCATAGCAATGTCACTATTATGGTGCTTTTTCTCCATTTGAGACGGATAATGGAAATTTACTATTTTGTGTGGGACCACTTATGTTTTAGAGAGCTGCATATTGTGTGAAGCAAGGAGAGCATGCAAATCCAAATCTCTGAGCCATGCTGCTGTCAGTGCTGTGACCACACACGGCCAAACACCCTTACAGCTTCCTTCCCTTGTTTTTGCCAGGCTGAGTCTTCTTGGGCAAGCTAGCAAGTTTCTCTTGTGCTCAAGTGTCATAAAACACCCAGATCCTTTTGATTGTTGTTTAGAACTGTACCAAGCACTCTCATCCTCAGCTTCCAAACATATCCCTAAAATACTGAAACATTCGTAGAAATATCCTTTCCTCCTGCTTGTAAGTGTGATTGTTTGCATGTGTACAGACGTTCGTCCAGCAGAGCCAGGTAAGCCACCTGAGCCAGACACTCTACTAGACTTGAACAGCTCTGATTTTGGCAATTTTTCTGTCTTGGACTGGAGGGTCTCTCTTAAAGCAGCTTTTCCTCCTGGACAGGCGGGAGGAGGGCACTGAAGTTCCTGCGGTTTGTCTCCGTCCCCTGGCTCCGTAGCTCGTCTCTCCCAGCTCTTTCCTAGGTTTCTCAGTCAGTGCTGCAACAAGCAGGGCTCCACGACACCTGGGAAGGGAGACGTAGGGCCCTGAGCCGCCACGGCCGCGCACGCCGCTCGCGCTCACTTAACACAAGTGCCTGCTGGCTTGTCCAGTCTCGCTCTTAAAGACCCCATATTTCAGTTCCCCCTCACGGGCCTGAAGGGGAGCTGTCAGCCGCGCTCGGACGCGAGTGCCAGGGCTGCCGGCACTTAACTCTTGCCTCTTTGCAGCTTGGTCCAGGCCAATCCGGAGGTTGCCATGGATTCGATTGTGCACATGACCCAGCATATATCACCCACCCAGCGAGCGGAGATCGTGCGGATTCTCTCCACAATGGACTCGCCTTCTTCAACGTAAGAGCATCGATTTCCCGCACTCTCCCCCTGCCCGGTACAGTGGAAGGAAAAAAAGCAAGCTCAGAATTGCCCTTTGTCTGCTCGACTGCGGCCACTGTACCGAGACGGGGAGGCTCGGGGAAATGCTGCAAGAATGACATTTTTATTTTTTCAAATCAGACTGACCAGAGGAAGTGTGTTCTTTGGCCAGAGACACGAGGAAAATGTATAAACACAAGCGCCTGCGGAATCGAGTTACAGCTGTCTAACGGTACCTTATTTATTTAACAAAGCGTGACTGGACCAGCGCGTCAGTTAGCTGTTGGGCTGCCGTCCGAAAGCACTACAGCCAGGCAATGAAGGGTACCTGCGTACCGTGAGGTCTGGCCATAGCAAAGCAGGGGCTCTTTTAAGTCACACCCCTGTGTCCTTGCATCGGTCTCTTCTCACACTCGGTCTGGTAGCGCTTTGCGCTGACAAGTGCCAACGTTACAGCCTGCGAGAGCGATGGTTACGGGCAGAGGAGGACGGGCTCTGCCTTCGAGGCGCGGGTGGGAACACCTCTCTCCCCCAGGATTTGGGAAAATCCTCTGGCGCGGTGTCTTGCCGATCCATGGATGAGTGGAGTCTGCCACTGCGTCAGCCCTCTTGTCTCTGTCGGCCAGTGGGGATTTGTATGTCAAACATGTGTCTTGATCCTTGCGAGCAGAAGAAAAGGAGCATTGACGCCTGCGAGGGCAGTGCTGTGTCCACAGCCTGGGTGCAGGGAAGGCTGTTGCGGTGCTGGATGCTCTTATTCCTCAAGAGCTGGGGAAGGTGGCAGGGGCAGGATTTCTGCACTAAAACCCAGCTCTTTTTGTCTCTGTGCCTGATTTGTTGGGCTGCTTTAGAACAGATGCGTGAAGTGGGTGAAAAGCCCTGCTAGGAGGAGGTAAAGCCGGAGCCCCCAACGTACCTGTTGGCCAGTCCTGCTCTTCTCCCTGTTGATTTTGAGGGGCCACTTCTGCCTCTGACAGTCCTGGGGCGGCCCCACTGCTGCACATATTTCATTTAAGTGCTAATTCCTTCCACGTGAGTGGTTAACTGAAGCAGAAAGCAGATATAAGCTGCCATGGCAAGGGAGGGTGAAGGATGGTTTCACGTACACAGATGGGGTTAGACTTGCACAAGGAGAACTCAGTGTAGTGCAGCTGAGCAGAGCTTCTCGTGGTGCCCACCTCTCCCTCGTAGCTGTTGGAGAGGCTCCCTGGTGCCTCCTGCCACTCAGCCCACCGTGGCGTGCGGCTGGGGAAGGGAACGTGGTCCCTAGTCCCATGAGACAACACAACTGTAAGAAAAGCTGGTTTTGGTAGTCGTCTTCCCGAGCGCCGACTGGCACTGCCGCCTGTTCCAGTGGTCGCTCGTGGCAGTTTGCCAGGAAGAGCTGTCTCCGATGGATGCTTGGCCGGTCAGTGCGGAGCCAGCCTTGAGCCAGGCTGCCTCAGTAGAGGTGGTGGCAGCAGCGCAGAGGAGCACCACAAGCACTGACCCCACGCCAGTCCTTGGCTTGTTTCTGCGCTTCTTATCTTCATGGGCCTCCTGACCGTAGTAAGAGATCAGATGAGCAGGAACTCTGGAGGGAAGCATGGCCAACCCAACCTTGTTTTTAAGAGTAAAAGTAGCTACTGTGGTGGAACTCTGTAAAAGTAGTATTGGAGAACTTACCCCAAGGATTGTCTTTAAAGTATTTCAGGTTTGACAACTGCTCTTTTAGTGTAGCTCCTTAACAGAAGGGGTGTTTTTACAAGAGTGAATTAACTGTGATGCCGGTGCCTCATGCCTGTACTGTTTCCTTCTGAAGGGCAACACACCCCTTCTGGGCGTGTGGTGCCGGGGCTCTTGCAAAACCAAGGTGCAGCACCGTAGGTGCTCTCTTCCCCGAGACAAGCACCAGCGGGGCACCTCTGCCCGTGGTCAGTGGAGGTGTATAATCTGAGCAACTAGCTTTTTCTTAAGAGAAACCCTAATCTGGGGTTTTCTCAAGAACCCTAATTTGGTTTAAAAGACTCTCTTTTCCACTAGAGCCCTGAACAAAACTCAAAGATACTTTCACTTATGCCAGTCTGGGCTGCAACAGGACACAAAGTGCAGACAGAGACTGTCTCAACAGGGAGGACTGACCAGGGGATGAGCTTGCACAGGCGGGTCTGACTGACACGTGCACTCGGGACAATGCTGTGAGCTCGCGCTGCGTCGACGTCCCGCTGGGCTCCTCCGCTGCTGCCACCAGGACTTCCACATCGCGTTGCTGTAAATTTGGCTCCTGTTAAGGATGTCGGCAAGCGTTACGGGCGCTGCTCTGGTCGCTGGGCTTGAGAGGGAGAGCGCTGCAGGTGCCAAAGTCACCTGGGGGGCTTTAGAGCAGAGCAGAGGTACTGGGTCAGGCTTGACTTCATTTTGGAGTAAAGTAGCTCCAACAAAAAGCCATTTGGTGCTGCTGGAGCTGGTGTGACGTCTGCTACTAACTCGGAGAGCAGTGCATTCGTCCAGGTTTATGGAAGTGCTGGGGCTGCCGGCGCACAGCCGGGGTGCCGGCCTCGGCTCTGGCGGGAGAGCGGGCGCCGCAGACAGGCCGTGCAGGCCGATACGGGACGGGTCGGGGGCCGGGGGGGCCGGGGCCAGGGGGAAACCACCCCCGC